CACTTTATTGTTTGTCCATTACGTGTACAAATGTCAATGAGTGGTGGTGGCGCAATGGTTTAGTCGCTGTCACCGGCTTCATTTGGCCCCTAAAGTCCAAGGTTCGAGCCCCACCACCGCCAGCTATCTTTGATGATAGACAGCTTTGCTGTCTTCCGGTCCAGTACCACGCCTAACCTGGTGGGTCATATGTGGTTCACCACTCCAAGTCCCGGGGGTTAGGTTAGCGGTTTCCATGAGGGAGCAGCAGATCCTCGTGACTATGGGGTCCACCCCGTCTGCTGTTCATCAGCCGCACGTGTGTAATAAAAAAACGTATTCAACTTTCAGGAAAGAGGTCGCGGTTATACAAAGGCCATCGGGGGAAATACAGAAATAGGGAAGATGGGTGGTGAGGGTGGCTGGATACGAATTCAAGACCTCCGGGTCACCGTTTTCTTGTCCTTCGCTACTTGACCATTGCTGCTCAGGTACTCGACTATCGTTCGGACCATGAGTGAAGATCATCATAGTGGGGAGAGAGTGACATCACCGGTTCGATCTGTTGATCTTAAATGGAAAATTATCGTCGAGTGCTGATTTGTTGTTTTTTGGGCACACGTTCCCCCACTGTGTACAACGTGGGTGCATCAATCCTGTTCTAACTTGACTTGAGAGTGAAATGATCAATCATTCCTGAGATCAATCGATATTTCGAAACTAAAAAGTTGGGGTTTAACATGGCTAATCATTGCAAACCCAGTCGTAATCGATTTTTGAAAAATTTCGCAGTATCTGTTTTGTTCGATATTCTGTTGAAATCGGCGTCTCCGCTTAGTCTCTACTGAGGAATCCTCACTGCCTTTTCGTGGCGGAGGGGTTTTNCCAAAGTGAGAGAATGAGAAGCCCACATCCGGGGCTATAACCGGATTTGAGGGACCACTGATAGTTCACCTAGGGAAGGAGTTGTCCAAAAACCCTGATTCCAAACGAACCAAGAGGAGGTGTACGAACCACACACACAACTTCCTGTTTGTTGCAGTGGTCACCGGCTCGATTGGGCATTAAGGTGTATTAGACACCTTGGACGTTTGACCCCGTCCAAAGGGTGTATGATCCGATAAACTGGACACTGGCCCCCAATGGATTGCGGTTTTCGCACACCATCCCGCTGCCTTGCGGATGGGGCTTTAGCTAGTCGAAGGCTTCGGTTGTGGATTCCCCATGAAAATTCACCGGCTTTGGCCGGGGCAACCTGTCAGTATTCGGCCGATAGGCAAATAATGGAATGTTTTTTTTTATTCGTTAAGAGTATTGTACCATGATTTGTTTGGCACACAGTCTGGATTTAGACAAGTGTGTGTGTGTGTGTGAAAATAAATGAAGAAGTACTCGTTTTAGCATGAAATTCTCTGGATGAAACTCTGTGACTCATTTGCGATGGAATGAAAAATAACTCCCCTCCGCCCCCATTATCCTTACCTTTAATATCATGATATTTTCGATGGATTTCAGCTGAACGGCCTCAGCATGATGAAAACTGGTGATCTGGTGGTACAAGGACATATCTGATCATGTTGTATGTGTGTGACCGATGTGTGTGGTATGTGTGAGCAGTTGTTGTTGTTGTTGTTGTTATTGTTCGGAAAATGTGATTCATAATTGCTCAGTTTGGAACACATCGATCGCCGTAGCGAGGCATAGATTGACCAATTCTATATGATTGCTGAAGTTGGCACAACAATACTCGTGACAATCCGAACAGAATTCGCATGATCAGTTCACACACACACACACACACACACACACACACGTTCTGTTCAGCAAAACCGCACGCCAAAACGTGTGTGTGTGTGTGTGTGT